TCTCTCCTTCCCTCTCTCTCTGTCTCGGTCTCTCTCTGTCTGTCTCTGTCTGTCTGTCTCTTTCTCTCTCTCTCTTTCTCTCTCTCTCTCTCCCCCTCCTACCGTACCACCAGAAGGAAGATTAGAGTTAGAGGGAAAGACAATAATGTTATTTGGGACAGGTGAAGTTGGAGGGATGTGTATATGTGTATGCGTGCGTGAGTGCGTAGGAGATGATATTCAGGTGGAGATGTGCTGCAGGCAGATGAAGATGTGAATCTGGAGCCCAGGAGAGAGGTCAGGGCTAGTGCAGTCTCTCTGGGAGTCTTTTGCATAAAGGTGGTCCTTGAAGCTATAGTAATGAATGAAAATAGCCAAGGGAGAAAGTATATGGAGAAAAAAGAAGGCCTTGAGTTTGGGGCTGTGGGGCATATCCTTTTTTCTTTTTTTTTTTTTTATAAAGGGTTTGGGAAGAGGATTAGAAGTTAGTGAAGGGACAAAGGACTAATGAGGACCTTTGGGTTTGGTAATTACTTCATTTCTGGTAAAATTTTGAGAAATTTTTGAGAAAACAGTTTGGTCTCATGCTAAGGTTTGTGTGGGTCAGAAGCTGGATTGCCAGAAATCAAGAGAGTAGGTGGTGGGGAAGTAGAGGCATTGAGGACAGACAACTTCTGCCAGACCTTTAGCAGTGAAGGGGAGAAAGGAAATGACCTTAGGTCACAGTGAAAGAAACTGAGGCTCAGATGAGTCAAGTGTCTTGCCTCAAGTCAACCAGACACCAGAAGGTAAAATTGAGGATCAAGGGAAGGCACTGGTTTTGGTTTGGGCAGATGGGGAATGTTTGTGGGCAGTTAAGGAGAAGCAGAGAAGGAGAGATTGAGGCTGCATGAGAGAGAGAGAGAGAGAGAGAGAGAGAGAGAGAGAGAGAGAGAGAGAGAGAGAGAGAGAGAGAGAGAGAGAGAGAGAGAGAGAGAGAGAGAGAAAGAGAGAGAGAGAGAGAGAGAGAGAGAGAGAGAGAGAGAGAGAGAGAGAGAGAGAGAGAGAGAGAGAGAGAAGAAGGGGGGGAGAAAGGCACACACAGAGAGAGACAGAGACAGACAGACAGACAGACAGAGACATAGAGGCAAGATCTAGAGCAAGGTCCTAGAGGAGGGAGCAGGCACCTTAAGGCAGATCTTCTGTGATCAGAAGAAAAGGGAAAGAAAGAGAGGGTCATGATGCAGAGAGGTTTTGAGGAGCAGAGAATGGAAGAGCTCATATCAGACGGCCTCCGTCTTTACGATGAAACCAGAAACTGTCATCTGCTGAATATGGGGGCATTGAGGAAACAATGACAGGTTTGAAGAGGAAAGAGGTTTGGCACACTTGGAGAAGGACACCCAAAAGGGGGTCAGTAAGAGTACCATGACAGGGTTGTTCAGAGCAGCAGGAGCAGCACAGTAGGAGCAGTAGAAGCAGCAGGGGCAGCAGCAGTGGATACAGCACGGGCCCTGGAGTCAGGAACACCTGAGTTCAAATTGGCCTCAGACACTTGATACCTACTAGCTGGGTAAGTCGCTTAACCCTATGTGCCTCAGTTCCTCACCTGCAAAACGAGCTGGAGAAGGAAATGGCCAGCCATGTATCTTGGCCAAGGAAAGCCCAAATGGGGCCATGAGGAAGCAGACAGGACTGAAGTGACTCAACGACAACCACAGCAAACTAGGGTAGTTGTGAGAATGAAATGGGGTAATATTTGTAAAGTCCTTTGCAAATTCTGAAGTGCTACATAAAGGATAACAATGATGAGGATGATGAATTCAATGAAGCCTTTCAATCAGGATTCCTGCATGAGGGGGATAGGAGTTTGGGTCTAGTGGAGAAAGGTAAAACAATGGAGACTGGGCCAGAAATCACTAGACTCCCAGAACCATGGCATTGGAAGAGGCCTTCCTGAAAATACCCAAATAAAAATCCCCTCCAAGGCCACAATAATTTTAGAGCTGGAAGAGATGTCAAACCACCTACTCCTGTCTTCTCCTTTTACAGATGAAGAAACCAGAGCCCTAGGGAGGCTAAATGACTTGTCCAATATCACAGGTACTAAAGCATCAGAGGTCAGATTTGAACCCATGTCCTCTGGCTTCATAGTCGGTGTTCTCCCTGCTTCCCTGCACTGCCTCCCCAGTGTTGTTACTGACAAATGGTGGTCTATCCTGTGCCTCCCTGCACTGCCTCCCCAGTGTCGATACTGACAAATGGTGGTCTGCCCTGTGCCTCCCTGTACCGCCTCCCCAGTGTCGATACTGACAAATGGTGGTCTGCCCTGTGCCTCCCTGCACTGCCTCCCCAGTGTTGATACTGACAAATGGTGGTCTATCTTTTGCTTAAAAGCCCCCAGTGATAGTGAATCACCTCCTCTGCCCATTCTACTTGGGAGCAGCTCTAAATAGTTGAGACACTTTTCTTTCCATTGAATAGAAATCTGCCTCTCTGTGCACCAATTCGTCCAAACTGTGTTGTATGGGCTCAGAAAGAACCAATATTAACTCTCCTCCAAGCCATGGAAGACAATTATTAAATCCCTCTAAATATTATGTTTTCCAGGTTAAACACTCCCAGCTCTTTCCATTAACCTCATTTGGTCTGATCTTCAGTTCCTTCCCCAATCTGGGCACCTTTCTCTGGACACATTCCAGCTTGTCAGTGTCCCAGAACATGGCCCCCAGAATCCTTGTAGCTTCACTTCCTAAAACCCTATGGGGGAGGACCTCTGGAATATAAGGCACCTTCAGGGATACCTAGGTAGGGGGCTCAGCCAGGGGTGGGGTCTTTGGACAGCTAGGGCTCAGGATGAGAGCACTGGACATCTAAGGAAGGGAGCAAGGAGGTGCTAGGAAATGAGTAATGGTAGAAGAGAGTGAGAAGGAAGAGCAGCACACTTGGTCTCCTTGTCAATTTTGCAGTGATCACCTCATGTGTCTTTGAAGACCATCTGCCATCAGCATTCATTAATTGGCTACTATGTGCCAAGGAGGATACGTGACTGAACAATAACAACAAATGTGTCCAGCACCTTGCTAGGTACTGGGGATACACAGACAGTCCCTGCCCTCAAGAGGTTTACATTCTATGAGGGGAGACAACACATATACATGTAAACACATAGACAAACTAAGGATAGAGGAAGAAGGATGCCTCACACGTGTGCATCCCAGATCTGTGGGAAAGCCAAAGCTGGTAGATCTCTTGCCTTCAGGAGTTCTGAGCTGCAGTGGGCCAAGGCACTTGGGTATCTGGCATCAATATGGGGATCCCCTGGGAGCGACTCAGAGGTGTAGGGGTCCCAGGGTGCCTAAGGAGGGACGAAACAGCCCAGAACAGAAACAGAGCAAGCCAAAGCTCCTAGGCAAATCAGTAGGGGGGTTAGCCCCTGTACTTCTGGGCAAGATAGGGAGACCAGTCTGAGAGGGGGAAAAAATGGAAAAAGAAAAGCACTCTGACTCTGGACTCGGAGCCCCTTGGTTCAAATCGTGCCTCTGCCACTTGCTATTGGTATGACCTTGGCCAAAGGGCGTAACCTCCCTGGACCTCAGTTTCCTCTTCTGTAAAATAAGGTGGTTGAACACTCTGACCTCTGGGTCCCTTCCAGACTTGGATCTACAATCATAGATTTGTTCTGCTGCCTTGGACTTAGCATTCAGCGTCTACTCTGAGGTTTCTCTGAGTTTCATTTGATAAGTTCCCAGAGGGAGCCTGGTCGGGGAGGATTCCACCCCCAGACTAAAGCATACTTGTTCTAGTAGAAGGTAAGTTTCTTGAAGGCAGATACTGTTGACTTTGTCTCTGCATCCCTGGCTTCTGTCACAGAGTAAGCTAAGTAAATGCTTGTGGGGTTGAATTGGATGTACACCCAGCTGGAATTGGTTCCCCCATCTCTCCTTTAAGCCTTAAATCTCTGCTGTTTCATTTGAAGTCTTAAATGTCTGCTAAGCACCCACCGGGTGTGAGGGAATGCGAAGGACAATGTCTTCTCTGATGAGTCCTGAGTGGAAATCCACTGACTTTCATGGATATCTCCACAGAGGGGGAGAAGGAGAGTGTGCCCTAGGAGGCAAGAGTCCTTTGAGAAGCAACTCAGGGAACTCTGAAAAACATTGATTTAGGACAGAAAGAACCTTAGAGACAAGAATCCAAAGTCAGATTCCAGGAGGTCCACGAATTTGGATGGGGAAAAATTATATCTTTGTTTTCGCTAACTTCTAACAACTTTGTACGACTTTCACTTATTTAAAAACATCATTCTGAGAAGGGATCCATAAGCTTCACCAGACTTCTGAAAGGGTCCACGACCCCCCCCCCAATAAAAGGGAGAAAGGTTAAGAGGCTCTGTGAGGAACACTCCCAGGCCTGAGTTCTGATGTCTGCTTGATGATTACTCTGCCTTAGTCTTACGCTCTTCCACTTTAGGAAATATTAGGGGCAACCTGGAGTTACCCAAAGGAGCATAGGCTCTTTGTTGGAGGGAGGATTGGTCACTACCTCTTCCTCAGAACAGTAGGGACATTGTGGCTTCAGATCACCAGAAACCTAGTCTCCAAGCCCATCCAGGAGAGTCCCAGCATTTTGGACTGGGTTGGGTGGTTAGTTCCTACTTGTATTATTCTTAGGGACCCCAGGCGCATGGGAATTTTTGAGGGTTTGCTCATTTGTCCAACTTCCTCCTTCCGCTCCTTCACAAACCACCTGCCTATCGGCTCACTTGAGGCTAAGAGCTGCCCAAGAGGAGCTAACTTCCTTCACTGAAGGGGCCTGAAGGAGAGAGAAAGCAAACAGAAAGTGTGGCAATTTCCTGTGGTCCTCCCCCAAAAGTCTTATTTGAAAAGATTTCAAAGGCTCTGAGATTTGGTTCCTGGAAGGCGTCTGTTGAAGAGTGAGAGGTACTACCTCTTCTTGGGTCACAGCCTGGAAAGCCCTCTGCCCATCCCACCCACAGCTGATAAAAGAAGAAGGAAAAAAAAAAGCTCAGGTCTTCTCACCTTCACGAAGGTCAAGTTCACAGATCCACCTGGGAAAGTCAGGAGAAGGTTGCTTCTCTGGGGGCCACAACTTCCTGATGCTTGAGTCACATTGGGGTTGAGATTGAAGTACATTTGAGATGACTGATACTAAGCCGGAGAGAGACAGATTATCTCAGTGAAACGGGAAAATGCAATCTCTTAGGCATCCTGTCCTGCCCTACCTCCCACCCCCACCCCATCTCAAGCAAGCTGGGTCCCTTGTGCAGCCCAAGAGCAAACGGCCAGGCCTTAACCAGAGGGGTTCACCTGGAATTCCACCTATGTCCATGAAACAAAAGAGGAGCATTGGTTTAGAACCTGAAGGACCCTTCAAGGTTATTTATCAACTCCAGAGAGTCTTAACCTTTTTTTGTGTTATGGACGTCTTCGGCAGTCTGGTGAAATCTATGAACCCCTCCTCAGAATCGTGTTCTTAAACAGTTCAAGGACATACACATTTCAGTTACAGGTCAATGAAAATAAAGATGTCATTTCCCCCCACCCATGTACAATTTCATGGATCCCCTGAAATCTATCCAAACCCTTTGGAGGTGCAGACCTCCTGAAGGTTAAGACTCCCTGATTTAGTCCAACCCCCTCAGCTTACAGTTGAAGAAACTGACCTTGCCCAAGGTCACATAGGGAGTAAATGGCACAGGGAGGATTTGAACTCTGATCTTCCAATTCCAAAGCCAGCACTCTTTCCACTATACCTTGTTGCTTCTTTCAAAGTCAAGTATATTCCTTAGCAGGGAAGGAGTGTAGGGGATAGAATGAAGGACTTGGAGACAGGAAAGCTTGCTAGCTTTGTGATCCTGGGCAAGTCACTTACCTCAGCCTCAGTTTCCTCATCTGTAAAATGGGGATAATTATAATTCTTAGCTCATAGGCTTGTTGTGAGGATCAGATGAGTTCACAAATATAAAGTGCTCTGCAAGTCTTAAAGTACTACATAAATGCTAGCTGTTATTATTACCATTAGTGTTGTAATTATTATGATAACATCCCAATGCTGGGTACCTAATGAATCCACTTACAGGGGTCTCACATGTCACGCAATCTGCAATCAATATGTTTACGAGAAGTTAGGAGAAAATTCTCATTTTTGTCAATTGACTTATAATGTAGGTGCACTGGGAGAGCTTGCTACGTAAAGAACTCTCGTGCCATTAAAGTGGATAATTGCTCCTCTCCAAGCTTTACCTTCCTTTGGAACCCTGGACTATATAGCATCATTGATTCCAGGATGCCAGGGATCTCAGAGGAGTGCTAGTCCTATCCCTACATTATAGAGTTGAGGAGACTGAGGCCTGCCAAGATGAATGTCCTGCCTCAAGTCTCACAGGGAGGAGGTAGCTAAAGCCAGGATTTGAACCCAGGCCTCTGGGCTCCAGAGTCCATACTTTTCCCCTCTGCCATGCTGATTCTCCGCAAGAGACCTGAGAACTCACTGGGCTTGTCCTTCTCATCTTATCATTGAGGGAACTACAAGCCAGGGAGGCTGACCCAGTTGTCATCACAGGGAGTCACTGGCCAGCTGCTGGCCTAACAAGGGACAAGAGCCAAGACCCCCATGGCTGGACCAGCATTCTTTCCACTAGGCCGCACCACAGCTTTGATTTAATTTAAAGTGAATTTTAATTTAAAGACGCACACATGGATTTAATTTTCTGGGGTAAAAATGTCCCGCCTCAGAACATTTTTCTCCTATTTTTACTCACTTTTGGAAACCAATTAGGCTTCTAGTTGAGCAGTATTTCAATTGCTACTAAGTATTTAACTTTCTAAGACGTGATGTATGGTGGGTGGTATACAAGGCTGGAAGTCAAAGAGACGGGTTCAAATCTTGCGTGTAACATTCATTAGCTACGGGACACAGCAGAGATGTAAATAGTCAATGACCCGCTTTCCAGAGGAAAAAAAAGACACATTTTTAAGTTTAAGCTGAGTGATTAATATTTTCTTCTCTTTTGTAAAGTCTAGACCATCAACAAAGCAATAAAATCAAGCTCAGATTTGTAGTTTGCCTATTTTTGAAGAGTAAATGCTCACACAGAAAATTTAACAATTGGCTCTCCCCAGTCTTTGACCTGGCCCTAGCATGTCTCTGGACTCTGGATAAGCCTCTTGACCTGGGAGCTTCAAGCTACTGCACTCAGACAGTTAACCAAGTTATAAAGGGGAGGAAATTTTCCATTATATTTTACTTCATATTACAGGTTGCTCAAGAAGGCCCCCTTTTTAAAATATTTTTAGGCTAGGCAATGGGGTTAAGTGACTTGCCTAAGATCACACAGCTAGTAAGTGTTATATGTCTGAGGCCGGATTTGAACTCAGGTCCTCCTGAATCCAGGGCTGGTGCTCTATCCACTGCACCACCTAGCTGCCTCTTCTGAAGAAAGTAAAAACCTCTCACCCCTAACGAAGGATCCAAGACCATCCCCCCAGCCTTCCCATTCTTCTGTCCCCAACCTTACCATCTTCTTGTCCTGAATGAGCAGCTGTACTCCCATGTCAGCCTTCATGCATGCCCTACTTCCACTGTAAACTAGGTAGGTCCCTGTTGGAGGGGATGATGACTGCGGAACAAGCGTGGGCCCCACAGTTGTCATGCTTGATGAAATGGTGGCAGTGAGGTGCTGTGTGGTTGTAATGCTAGCATCCCGGGTGGTCTTTCCCTTGGCTGGGGCTGTGGTCCCAGATGTTGTCAGGGAGGTCTTGTTGTCTGGTGGGGTCGTGATTGGACCCATTCCTAAGGTTGTGTGACTAGCTGTCGACCAAGCCGCCATAGTTGTCTGGGCCATGGGTGTGCTTGACCAGTCTGTGCTAGGTGTGCTGGTGGATGACCCAGGAGGAGCTGGGATGTCTGTGTTCACCATGGTTGTGGTTTGGGTGCTATCTTGCGGCATCTTTGTACTTCCATCAGTGAAGGTTGTTAGACCAGCTGACTGTGTGCTTGTCCTCGTTGACTGGGTAGCTATTGTTTTCAAGGTTGCCTGAGTTATTTGCCAGCCAAAGACAGTGGCGTAGCTGTCTGTTGCTTCCCTTTGGACTGTGTTCTGGGAGGCATGGCTGGTCGGGTAGATGACGTGGCCTGGGTATCTGCTGACATCTACCAATTTTCTATTCATTATAACACTGTAGTAGCTCAAAATTACTGCAAATAAGGAAATGAATGGATTAAAAGATGATCACTGATCTGAGACTAGAAGGGATTTTAGAGGTCATCTGGTTCAACCTCCTTATTTTACAGTTCAAGAAACGAGCCCTATAGAGGTGATGTAACCCAAAGTCACACAAGTAACCTGGATTTGAACTCAGGCCCTGTTACTCTCAGTTTGGCTTTTCCCTGGCACTATGCTACCCCATAATAATCATGTGATTTTTTTTTTGCAACCACTGAACATTTTATAAAACAATAATGTGGCTAAATGTCAAAGCTTTGGTCTCCCCCACCCCCTTCCCCAATACAGTCACTCTTTCCTCACCACACCTGAAACTTAAACCTGGATTGTTGGCCCACAAACATTGCTCTCTGTGCTTGCTTATCAAGGATCCACCTGGAACAGAGGGGTTAATGTAAGTTCTACAGACAGTGGGACCAGCAAAGAAGTGATAAACAGCTGAGGTGCTGAGCGTCTCGTCAAGAATCCAAGCCTCAATCATACCACTATTCCTGGGGAAAACCAGATGCTCTTGGTAACAATTTCCTGATTGGGGGATAGCCATTATGTTATCATCATCCTTGGTAAATGAACAAGAGGGGAGTACTGATTGGAAACAGCATTATGCCCGTTTTATAGGTGAGGACACTGTGACTGAGAGGTTAAATGATTTGCATAGGTTCTTGTAGGTAATGTCCAGAAAGATGTGAACTCATGGCTTCCTAACTCCAAGTCCAGCATGATTCACCAGGCCAGCTAGTCGCCTATACATACTTAACCCTACATGAAATAATTACAAAGTAAGATGAGGGAGGGGTGAGGAGGGTGCTAGCATCTGGGAACATCAGGAAAGACTTCATGTAAAAGATGGTACTTGAGCTGAGCTGAATGTTGAAGGGAAAAAGGGATTATGAGAGGCAGAGATGAGGAGGGAGTACATTCCAGGTAGAGGGGACAGACAGTGCAAAGACTTGGAGGTGGGAGATGGACAAAAGGCAAAAAGCCAGTCTGGCTAGGCTACAGAGTGTGAGAAGGGGAGTAATGTATAGAAAAGCTGAAAAGTTAGATTGGGGCCGGGCTGCAAAGGCCTTCCTTCCTATCTACTCTTCTTCTGCTTTTTTTCCAAAGAGGAAGTTATATAAATTAAAGTTATATAAACAAAGGGACCTGCTGGTTTGTATGTACAAAGCTCTGAGAGTCCTGACAACCGAGTCAGATTTCCATACAAGTTCAGATAATCTTCAACAGCTTCTCCTACAGGGATAGGCTCAATAACTACAATAAGAAACATAAAACTGAATTTCTCTTTCTACTGTAGCAAAATTTTTGCTTCCACGAAGGGCATTCCTTAACTCCTTGTCCCTTACCTGGATTGTCCCGAGACTCTCTGTTTCTCCTTAGCTTTGAAGCTATTGAATGATCCATTAGGATCCTGCCAATAAGAGATTGCCTTATGGCAGGCTAATATAATGACAAGTGGACCAGAATTTCTCCTATCCTGTTGGACTGGGGGAAAATGTTTTCCTGTACTGTTCCACTTAAAAGTGACTGCACTATTTTGGGCTAAAATGTAGTTTTTCCTTCTCTGAGCAATGTGAATCAAGATCTGAAGAGGGAATATTCTGTCTCCTCTTCTTTGTCAATAATATCTGGCTTTATAATGGCCAAGGTTCTTTCTACATAAATCTGAGGTGGAGGCTGGTGACTTTGCACAGCCCTCCCTCACTTAAATCCAATTCACTTGTAAGTCATGGCATCACCTTCTGATGTCATGGTTGGCCCTCTTCTAGAATGAGATGGGGACATTCTGGCTTTTTAGGTCAATTTAAAGTTTCTTGATGAGTATGAACTGTGATTCCTCTATAGTAGCACTGGGAAAGTTGGTGACCAAATTGGGGTCTTCTAACATGCTACAGGTATTTCCCAGACAGTCTTTTCCCACAGATTGTCATCTTGATCATTCCCCCTAGACCTACAGAGCTTAAATGAACAAGATTTGAGACTAACTGTGCAGGATCCAAATGGTGGTCCTACTTCTGGGTGAAGAGAAAGTGCCCTTTTAATGACACTTTTCAAAAGGAATATTTTTGGTTACCATGTGTCCCAATTTTTGATTTGGAAAACGTGGTCATATATATGGTCAGATCCACACTTGTGACTTATGGCCAATGTTCGCTAAGAAACGCCCTTTTATCCCACTGGAGTCTAAGAATAGCTAGTTTCCTGATTATTTAGGGGCCTGCCAGAGTTTGTGGCATGGATTCCGGGCTACAAAGAAAGTGGAAGGAAGTGGAGAGGAGAGAGAGGGAGGGAGGAACCTGCAGTGGGGAGGGAGGGGAAGGGGCACCACTTTACAATTTTGTTTAGTGGCCTGGAATTTAAACTTAAATAAAAGAGGAAATCAGTTGTTTGAAAAAAAAAAAGATTTAAATTGTGTCAGCTCATCTAGGCCTGCTGATCTGACTGGTGGCTTCTCTTAAATAGGGAGAATCAAAATCAAATGCTTACTGCCAAAGCCAGACTGGAGAAATAGCTTACCTGCTTTGGGCCTCGGTTTCCTCATCTACAAAATGAGGACTTTAGACTATATGGACTCTGAGGTCCTTGCTGACTTTAAATTCATGATTCTATGACTTTAGAGATTTAATTAAATTCAAGTCAGCAAGTTTTTATTAAGCACCTTCTATGTGCCAAATACCATGCTAGACTCTGGGTCTGTGGAGACGAATGTAAAATAGATCCTGCCTTTAGGTAGTGGGGTACAAAGGGGTGCTGGGGCGAAGGATGGCATGTATACAGAGAAGTCAATGCCAAAATATATACAGAATAAATACAAGTAATACAGAAGAAATACGAAGTAATATGGGAGGCTGGGCATTAATAAGTACAGAATTAGGAAAGGTGTCTTGGAGAGGGTGATAATTGAGCTGAGCCTTAAAGGAAACCAGAGGATCCAAGACACCTTCCACTCATCTCAACGGCTCTGAGGTGCTACCAGGAAGGGGCAGTCTTTGTGGACACTCCTCTACCTGCCTTTACTCGCCTTGGTCAGGCAGTGGCTCAGCTCCTTGGCTGGTGGACCCTCCAGCAGTCCACCAGCCAACCTGGGCACCCACGTCGAATCAAGTCAACAAGCATATATGGAGTATCTACACAGTGCCAGACACTGCTAGGTGGTGAGGATGCAAAGAAAGGCATAAACAGGCCCTACCCTCAAGGGGTCCACACGCAGACAGTGATGTAAGGATGAGAGAGAGACAGCGCAGATTGAAGGTAATGTCAGATTAACATAAAGAGATGCGGGGGAGGCGTCTGCAGAAAGTGGGATTTTTAATGAGACTAGAAGGAGGCCGGGGGAGAGGGGTGAAGAGGGAGAATTCCAGGCATAGGGGACAGTCGGTAAAAATGCAATCAGGATGGAGTGTCTTGGTTGAAAGAGTGTTGACATCATGGATCACCTTGGTTGATATAATTTTTTCCCTCATACAAATTCACGGACCCCCTGGAATCAGACTTTAGTGTCACTGGATTCTAAATTATGCAGAGGGGATTAAGGTCTAAGAAGACTGGAAAGGTAGAAAGGAGGCAGGTTTTGTTAAGGGCTTTAAAAACCAAAACAGGATTTTAGATTTGGTCCTGGAGGTCTTATGGAACACCTGGAATTTACTGAGTAGGAGTCGGGGAGGGTAGGACGTGGTCATATCTATGCTTTAGGAAAATTGCTTTGATATCTGAGTGGAAAATGGGTAGGGGTGGGGAGAGACTTGAGGTAGACAGACCAATCAGAAGGCTATTGTTATAGGCCAGGACTGAGGTGATTAGAGCCTGTGGCAAAGAGGTGAGGAGACCTATACAAGAGATGTTGTGAAAGTAGAATTGATGGGATTTGGCAACAGATTGGATATGAGGGGTGAGAAATAGTGAGGAGTCAAGGATGACACCCAGGTTGCGAGTCTGATTGACTGGAAAGATAGTGGTATCCTTGACAGCAAGAAGGGAGTTACAAAGAGGGGAGAGTTAGGAGGAAAAGATAATGGATTTAGTTTTGGACATGGTGAGTTTAAGATGTCTCTGGGACATACAGTTCAAATGTCCAATAGACTCTTGGAGATGCAACACCAGAGGTTAAGAGGGAGGTTAGGGCTGGATAAATAGATCTGAAAAATCACATATCTAGAGATGATGATTGAATGCATGGAAACTGATGAGATCACCAAGTGAAATAATATGGAGGGAGAAGAGAAGAGGTCCCAGCCAGAGCCTTAGAGGATACCCATGGTTAGAAGATGTTACCTGCTCCAAGATCCAGCAAAGGAGACTAAAAGTGGGCAAATACACTACAGGTAGGAAGAGAACCCAGAGAAAGCAGTGTAGCAAAAACCTAGAGAAGAGAGTTTCAAGGAAAGGAGGCTGATTGACAGCATCAAGGGCTGTAGAGAGGTCGAGAAGGATGAGGATTGAAGAAAGGCCTTATATTTGGTAACTTGCCAATCTCTCTCTCTCTCTCTCTCTCTCTCTCTCTCTCTCTCACACACACACACACACACACACACACATACACTATGTGATATGTATGATGTGATATGGTATATTATATATGACATATTATATGTATGTGTATATATACATATACATATATATATACACACACATATATATTCCATACACAGGTATGTATGGAGGCATTTTCCACACCAGGAATTCTCCACACTGATGAAATCACAGGTCATAGGAGTTGGAATAGACCTTAGAAGCCTTAGAGTCTAGCAACCTCGTTCACAGACGAGGAAACTGAGGACCAAAGAGGAATCCTCAGTTCACAGGCTGGAAAGAACCTTAAAAACTACCTAGTCCAATTCTGTCATTTTATAGATGAGAAACAGGCCCAAAGAGGTTAAATAATTGGCCCAAGGTCACACATGTAGTTAAGTAGAAGATCAGAATTTCAGATTTGAAAGGGACCTTAGAGGTCACTTAATCCAACCCCTCATTTGACAGATGAGTAAACTGAGGCCCAAAGAAATTAGATAATTTGCCCAAGGCCATGCAACTCGTAATAGAGACTAAGTGATTAATTTAGATTAAGTGATTAGTAAGTTAGACTCAGAACAACAACCTTCTCTCCACAGACACCCTCCCACCCCCAAACCAACCATCCAACTCAACTGCTATCTCTTTGTTGCCAAGACGTCTAACCTCCATTTTGGGGAAACTGACAAAAAGAAGGAGCTGAAGAAACTTACGTGTCCAAGGTCACAAGGCCCAAGTTAACTTCTCCAACTCCCTGATCCCCCTCTTCTCAATCAGATGGCCCATCTAAGCTGTCCTTGCACCATTTCATGCAGTGATTAGGACCATTTCTGTCTGACAAGTTAGCCAGATAAGAACTTCTCTGCCTAGTTTACAGGGTTGTAGGAAAAGGAAATGTGAGGATACACGAGAAAGTGCTATGAGAAACCCCTAAGGGCATCGCTGCTGAGATGCAGAGGTCCAGGAGCAGAAATGAAGCCTCCTTGAGTCAATGATATGATAGCACAGGTCAAGATTTGGAAGGGGCTTCTGAGCCCCTCATTGTGATGAGGACATTACCCAAAGGTGGTATCCTTCCCACCCTATCCAGCCCTCCAGTTGTCCACCCAGGCCATTTCACCCACTGCCTCACACCATCCTCTTAACCCCTCAGACCTGCCTCCTCCCATCTTCTGCCTCAGACACAGTTATCAAATCAATAGTGCCACTACTTCCAGAAATGGCATGTCATATACATCAGCTCTTCATGTCTGTGACTCCCCAGACCCAAAGCTCCCTTCTCTGGCCACTGCCTCCCACATGCATTGTCTTTTCCTATTAGGCTGTAAGCTGGGTGAGAAGCAGGGCACTTTGTGTATTTGTAACCCCAGAGCCTAGCACTGTGTCCTGTACACAGTGAGCGCTTAATAAAAACGTGTTCAATCCTTCCTTCCCCAAAGTCATATAGGTAGTACATATCAGAGCTGGGGATCTTCTGAATCTACACACATGCACTTTTTCCATTGTATTAGTGAGTGTCTTTGCCTTGACTTGGTCACAAGCGTACAGGATCATGGTTCTGATTGAGGGATGGAAGGGAACATTGAGGTCATCCCTAAATCTAACCCTTTCTTTATAGGTGAGTATAAAAGGACTTACATGAAGCTACATAGATAATAGCTGGGTTTTCAACCCAGGTCCTCTATTCCAAATTCAGTGTTTCCCCCCCACTGTACCCCATTGCCTCCAGTAATATAAGGAGATAGTAGGAGAATGCCCTGAATCACTTATTCTGTGTTACAGTGTTGTCAGGGTATATGTAACTCACCGGCACAGAAGACAAGTATTGGCAGCACCACTAACCCTTTCTTCATGGCTGGGCTGGAATGGTCCTGGGGACGGCCACAGGGAAGGTTCACTGCTGCTGCCTCTCCTAGGCTTCCCTTAGTTTAAAACTTAAAACCACACACTTTGTGCTCTTGAGAAGTCACATGAGTACGAGCAGGAAGAGACAGCTTTAGTCTCACACACTTCAGAAGTAGGTGATGGAAAGTGAAAGAAGTCCATGGAGTTCTCTAGGGCCTCTTCTTCAATTAGAAGCCAGAGTCAACAGGGTCAAGGAGCTCTCTATGGCTCTTGTGGGACAGAACCTGCTTTTCATCAAGGCTTTTAGTGTTTGCAAAGGATGACAAACTCACATACCCCAGAGAGACTCAAGCTCCTGAGCCAGGCAAGAGCTGGACTCAGGCCTCACCCGCTTTCTTCTCACTTATCATGGGCTCTCCTTTTCCTCAAAGTCCTTATAGTGGGCCTCAGTCCTCTTGGGGAACATTGTGAACTAGAACAGGGTCAGTGGGACATAAAACTCAAAACTCAGGGACTCTGAGGACCCATTGCTCCTTGGTGACATCCATGATCTTGGGTGACACATTGAGACCAACAAGGTCTCGGCTTCTTCCTCTACAAAGATGGAGAAAGTGTCGCTGACCTAACTCACATGATTTTCAGGGGTAAGAAGGAACCCAAATTTAGGCATGTTGATCAGATTTGCCAGTGCTGCTAAACTAAGTCGGGGGGATAGTTAGCCAGCCTACTGGAGGATAGAGTGAAGATTCTGAAAGTTCTTGACAGACTAAAACACTGGGCTGAATCTAGTAAGAATTCAATTCAATAAGAATTCATTAAGTGTCTACTATGTGCAAGACACATGGGGATACAAAGGAGAAATGAAAATTAACATCACAAGAACGAGATAGGAAAGACATCTTTAAAAAAAAAACCCATGGTATTTGAGTGGACCGCAAGGTCAATGAGTCAGCAGTGTGTCATGGGCAAACTAGAGGGAGATCCTGAGCCCCGTTGTGGTGGAGCAGGTGAATGACAGCACCAGGACTCACCACCTGCCTTAGCACAGCCACGGTAAGTGACAGACTCCAGCTCTGAGAATCAGCGTAACCCTGGGGAAACAGCAATCCTTCAGGGACCAGACCTCCACAGCACAGCCCCAGGCAAACAGGTAGATACCGACCCTATGAGTGCCTAAGCACCAGCCATCAGCACCTGGCTTCAGTGTAGCTCCAGACAATCAAGCAGCCTCCAGAGGCCAGACTACCCTGGGAGTCAGTGCAGCCCTAGGAAAATGCAGAAACACCCCACTGGCCTCAGCACATGCCAGACACCACCACTAGGACCCCAGCTCAGCACCGGGTAAGCTGCCAGACTCTTAAAGCCTCCAGTAGCACCAGCCACTCCCCCACCCCCTCAGTGCAGCCCCAAACACGAGGGTCTGCCATGGGCTTCAGGGCAACATCAGTGCAGCACCTGGTATAGCACCTTGTAAACAACCAAGGCTTGCAACCACTGGCACAAGAAGCCTGAGACAGTGCCCCTTGTAACCCGGGAGCAGACTTCAAATTTAAAAGAAAGGAAAAAGGCCAAAAAAAAAAAGATGAGCAAAAATCAACAACAAAAAAGAGAATCTGACCACAGAAAATTATTAGGGTGACTGGGAAGACCAAGGCACAAACTCAGAAGAGGACAAGAATGTCAAAACACCTATGGGCAAAACCCCAAAGAAAAGAGGGAAATGGTCTCAAGCCCAGAAAGAACTCATGGGAGAGCTCAAAAAGGAGCTTAAAAATCGAAGAAAAATTGGGAAAAGAAATGAGAGCGATGAAAGAGAATTATGGAAAAATAGTCAACAGCTTGGAAAACAGCTGTTTTAAAAGTAGAATTTGCCAAATGGAAAAAGAAGTATAAAAGCTTACTGAGGAAAACAACTCCTTAAAAGTTAGAATTAGGCTAGAACTTCAGGGGGCAGAGCCGAGATGGCAGAGTGAAAGCAGTGACTTGTTTGCGCTCTCCCCCCAAACCCTCCAAATACCTATAAAAATGGATCTAAACAAATTCTAAAGCAGCAGAACCCACAAAAAGACAGAGTGAAGCAAATTTCCAGCCTAAGACAACCTGGATGATTGATTGGAGAGGCATATCGCATAGGGCTGGGAGCGGAGTGCAGCGAGGCATGGGTGTGCAGGCCACAGCGAACCTGGAGCAGGCCTCAGAGGACTGAATCGCAGGCAGCTGTGGCAGATTCCATACTTCTCAACCCAGGAACACCAAAGACAACTTACAAGGTCAGTGGGAAAAGTCTGTTTCTGTGGTGCTGAGAGAGAAGCACAGGGTCTCAGCTCCATTCCCTAAGCGCGGCCAGGACTGGGGCTGCCTCCTGAGCTTCTGTCCCACAGACTGAGGGGGAATCCAGTAACTGATTAGAGGGGGATGGCAGGGATCTCTTTGCCAGTTCTGACACAGGAATCTCTTGTTTTGCCCATGCTTGGATCTCGGTCACAGTTCTGGGTGGTGGTCCTGGGGCAAGGAGGAGCGCTGTTGTGGTGGAGCTTGTAGTGGCGTAAAAGAGAAAACCCTCCTCACAGTTCCAGGACAGAAAGGAGTGCTTGTGGTCACTAATAGACCAGAGCACAGGCCAGGAAAGGAGTAAACACCTCTCCCCTTATCATGCCATCTTGGAAGAACTGAAAATTTACAGTTCCCTACAAGTATCTCTGAAAATGGCTGTACAAACCCCCGAAGCTTGGGACAGTACATTCTTCACATTGGAAGCAGACTCTTACCTTAACAAAGAGTTTAAAACGCAAGTAATTGGCTGGGATCATGAGCAAGCAGCGCAAAAGAGTCAGACTATTCTTATCTTACTTTGGTGACAAAGAAGATCAAAACATACAACCAGAAGAAGACAACAAAGTCAAAGCTCCTAAATCCAAAGCCTCCAAGAAAAATATGAATCAGTCCCAGGCCTTGGAAGAGCTCAAAAGGGATTTTGAGAAGCAAGTAAGAGAAGTAGAGGAAAAACTGGGAAGAGAAATGAGAGTGATGCAAGGAAATCATGAAAAACAAGTCAACAGCTTGCTAAAGGAGACTCAAAAAAATGCTAAAGAAAATAACACCTTAAAAAATAGCCTAACCCAAATGGCAAAAGAGGTCCAAAAAGCCAATGAGGAGAAGAATGCCCTAAAAAGCAAATTTAGCCAAATGGAAAAGGAAGTCCGAAAGATTACTGAAGAAAATACTTCCTTAAAAATTAGAATAGAGCAATTGGAAGATAGTGACTTTATGAGAAATCAAGACACTGTAAAACAAATCCAAAAGAATGAAAAATTAGAAAACAATGTGAAATATCTCATTGGAAAAACAACTGACCTGGAAAATAGATCCAGGAGAGAGAATTTAAAAATTATTGGACTATCTGAAAGCCATGATCAAAAAAAGAGCCTAGACATCATCTTTCAAGAAATTATCAAGGAAAACTGCCCTGATATATTAGAACCAGAGGGCAAAATAGAAATTGAAAGAATCCACAGATCTCCTCCTGAAAGAGATCCCCAAAGGAAAACTCCTAGGAATATTGTAGCCAAATTCCAGAGTTCCCAGGTCAAGGAGAAAATATTACAAGCTGCCAGAAGAAACAATTCAAGTACTGTGGAAACACAATCAGGATAACACAAGATTTAGCAGCTTCTACATTAAAGGACCGCAGGGCATGGAATATAATATTCCGGAGGGCAAAGGAGATAGGATTACAACCAAGAATCACCTACCCAGCAAAACTGAGTATAATCCTTCAGGGGAAAAAATGGTCATTCAGTGAAATAGAGGACTTTCAAGCATTCTGATGAAAAGACCAGAGCTGAATAGAAAATTTGACTTTCAAATACAGGACTCAAGTGGAACATGAAGAGGTAAACAGGAAAGAGAAATCATAAGAGACTTATTAAGATTGAACTGTTTACATTCCTGCATGGAAAGATGATATTTATAACTCATGAGACCTTTGTCAGTATTAGGGTAGTTGGAGGAAAAAAATGTTGTAGATATAGATAGATATAGATAGTAGATAGATAGAGGGCACAGGGTGAGTTGAAGATTAAGTGGTCATATATCTGGAGAATAAAATTAAGGGATGAGAGAGGATTATACTAGCAGAAGAAGAAAGGGAGAGGTGGAAAGGGGTAAATTATCTCACAAAAAAAAACAGAAAAGAAAAGTCTTACAGAGGGAAAGGGGAAGGTGAGAGGGAATGAGTGAATCTTATTCTCATAAGATTTGGCTTAAGGAGGGAATAACACACACATTTAATTGGGTATGGAAATCTGTCTTACCCTACAGGAAAATAGGGGGAGAAGGGAACAAGAGAGCAGGGGGATGATAGAGAGGAGGACAGATTGGGAAAGGGGGTAATCAGAAGCAAATACTTCTGAGGAGGGACAGGGTCAAAACAAAGAGTAGAATAAATGGGGGGCAGGATAAGATTAAGGGAAACAGAGTTAGTTTTTTACATGTCTACTATGGAAGTGTTTTGCATAACTGGACATGTATAACCTATATTGAGTTGCTTGCCTTTTCAATGAGGGTGGGTGGGGAGGGAGGAAGGGAGAAAATCTGGAACCCAAAGTTTTAAAAACATTTGTTTAAAAAAAGTGTTTTCACATGCAACTGGGAAATAAATGCAGGAAATGGGGCACAGAAGTCTATCCTGCACTACAGGAAAATAGAAGGGGAAGGGGATAAGAGATGGGGGGATACATAGAAGAGAAGGCAGACTAGAGGAAGGTGTATTCAGAATGCATGCCATCTTGGGTGGGGGGAGGGGTGATATGGGGTGAAGATTTGGAACTCAAAATCTTGTGGAAGTAAATGTTGAAAACTAAAAATAAACAAATATATATTAAAAGAATTTTTAAAAAGGAAAAATAAGTTAGAATTAGGCAAGTGGAAACCAAATGACTCTATGAGACATCAAGAATCAATTAAACATATACAAAAGAATGAAAAATTAAAGAAAATGTAAAATACCTCATTGGAAAAACAACTGAACTGGAAAATAGATCCAGCAGAGATAATCTCAGAATAACTGGATTACCTGAAAGCCATAATCAAAAGGACTGTAACCAAGAATCACCTACCCAGTGAAATTAAG